ATATATATATATATATATATATATATATATATATATATATATATATATATATATATATATATATATATATATATATATATATATATGTATATATATATATATATATATATATATATATATATATATATATATATATATATATATATATATATATATATATATATATATATATATATATATATATATATATATATATTTATATATATATATACATGAAAATTATGGGGGATCAACAAAAGCTCTTCATTCTCATCTTCTTCAGTTACATAAAATAAATTTAAAAGCAGAACTGGCGACATTCTCCGACATCGGAAGAAGAACCACAGAGTAAAAAAAGTAATATTAGTTCTTATTTTTCATCAAATGTGAATAAAGAAGAAAGTTTGTATGAGGTGCTTGCAAGATTAACAGCTAAAAATGGGATTTCTTTTAACGTTATATGTACTTCTATTGATATACGTGCTGGACTGGCTATGAGGCAATTTGTCAACATACCTAAATCTCCAAACACTGATAAAACACTGATATTGTGTTAGAGTTTATGTTAACTAAATTAAAAGAGCTGAAAACTACAAAAAATTGTCAACTTTTTAATCCATTAGCCTTCAGAATCAAAAAGCTAAGGACTGAATTAAGTAGTCTACTGCACTATCTACATTACGGAGAAAACAAATTAATGTCCAAAGGTGAAGTAGATTAAATGTAATAAATATAAATCACCCAACAATTTCCTTGGACACGTTAAAGATTTAGTAAGTCAATAAGATGATGAAATACCGAAAAACGCAGATAATAAAATGCCAAAAACTATTAGTGAGCAGCTAAATGAAGCCCTAGAAAAAGGTTTTCTAACAAAACCCAAAAATTCTTTGACAAGATTAGGCGAAACTTTCACTTCTGAATTATCGAATGATAATATCGAATCGAATCGAATGTCATTGTTTGAAAGTGGTTGTACTCGGGGTGATATTCTTCAGAAAGTTTATGATTTTTTAATGACGATTAAACCAATGAGCGTAGAATCAGAAAGAGCATTTTCCTCCGCAGGACTATTTAGTAATAAAATAAGAAGACGCTTAAGTGATAATAGTTTATATAGTTTGAGCTTTCTGCAAGCATATTTTCTAAAAACAAAATAAATAACTTTATGTACAAGTTTTATTCATTTTACTGCAAAACATTTACTTAAATTATGGCTTTTCTTTCAGTTTTAAAGCATAACAGAATGCCGGGATTTCCCGGAAAATTTCGGGAATTATTTATACAACCCCGAATCCCGGGAATAGAAATTTACTGGGTTTTTGCAAACCCTAATATATATATATATATATATATATATATATATATATATATATATATATATATATATATATATATATATATATATATATATATATATATATATATATATATATATAGTCAAAAAATAGTATAATAAAATCAATGTTCAATTAAATATTATAGGCCGTAAAATTTGAAGCAATTGCTTGCCATTTTATGAGTTATTTTTTTATTCACACCTTTTTCTCTTAAAGAGCAATTACTCAGAGTAAAAAGCTTTTGTGCAAAATAAGCAATTGCTCAAAATTTTTATCACGTAATTTGAGCAATTACTCCAAAAACTTGGAGGAAAAGCAATTGCTCATTTTTATTTCACCCGGCTTATAACTAATGATTTTTTAAATAGAGTATTACAGATATTTGTTCGAAGGGAATTGCTTGTCTAGCAGCTGATAATATTCGTCTAAAGCAAATATTACAAATAATTATTCAAAGGAAATTGGTCGTAAAAAATTTCAAAACAATTTTTAAATTTTCAAAAAACTTCAGATGTCACCCGAAAAAATTGTTTTGCTTCTGTATTTTTTCTTATTGCCTCCAATATTTAGAGCATCATTCCTCAATCATTGAAATCATTCAAACCTCCTCTTTAAAGTCTGTTTTGTCCCCCTGCACAATCAATTTTGTCTCAGAGAATCTATAAGCATTGTAACTTGTACTTTGTCCCCCAAATCATGTTCAAAAAGCATGTCAACAGTACTCATTATAATTTTATTAACCAAATGGGTAATATACTTTCGCAAGTTAGACTTGTTCGCATTGCCGCCAAGTTCAAAAAAGAGTATTAACTCTCTTTCGCGCGTTCTTTTCTATCGTAATTACGGCCATTTAGGTCGTGATTGCGGTAGAAGAGAACGCGGCCTTTGCTGAATGGTTTGATGAGGACGAAACTAAAACATAAGGCCTTAACATTCCAAATGATGCGACTATTTCAGACAAATTGGACTGCCCTATTCCAATCATATCAATTGACGAACGAATTTATTTTTAAAAAATCCTTGGATGGATAAAGAATGAGGCAAGTTCCCATGACACACTTTGACTAAGTTTAATATATAGAAAAGTGTAGTACAATACAATTTTTTTTTCAGGGAGGTCTACCAGAATAAATAACTGAAACAAATGCGAAAATACCCAATAAGCTACTGAATGATATTCAAACACAGAAAAATGTAATTCATGTAAAAAATTTCTATAAAAATACTTAAATTTAGAACAGATTTTGTAAAAAAAAAAGGAGGGGGAGGGGTATCCCAATTTACGACATTCTTTTTAAGGGTGTATAGGAAAAAAGAACAACCAGTGACAAAGGGAGGGGAGGAGGTCAAAAATTGTCTAAAAAATAGTGACGTCCTTTATGGACGGCTCCTTACATGTCAATACCAAGAACATTAAAAACTTGTTGGAAGACTGTTGCAAAACACTTAAAAAGTTGCAAAACACTTAAAAATCTAGGAAATAAGAAACCTATTTAAACATTTAAGATATTTTTAAGAAATCATACACGGTTGAATTCAACTCAAAAAATCTAGTAGATAGTTGTTTAGATAGTAGATAGTTGTTTAGATAGTAGGTAGTTGTTTAGATAGTAGATAGTTGTTTAGATAGTAAATAGTTGTTTAGATAGTAGTTCTTTGTGTTTAGGATAATATTTATTTTTTTCATATTACAAAGGGTTACTCAACAAAAGTGTAAAATTTCTTATGACAATTTTTGATCAAGCTTTAACTTAGTGAACTTTATGTTAAAACTGAGTTAAAAATTGAGTTAAGTTTATGTACAGTAATCTCTAGTATGTACAGCATATCAAGTATGTACAGCAATCTATAGTATGTACAGCAATCTATAGTATGTACAGCATATCAAGTATGTACAGCAATCTATAGTATGTACAGCATATCAAGTATATACTGCAATCTATAGTAGTTAACAACTTGATCAACTTAAATTCTGGTAAATTTATTCAAAACGGAGACCTGGAAAAAAAATTTATTTTTTCTTTTTAAGACGTATTGGCTTTGTCACAGAGCGCTACGAAATTTTTTTTCGGGAGGCTAGAGATTTACAAGCTAGGGCTGGAATCAAACTTCAGATCGTTTGATCTAGAGTTATCACTCTAATCACTGAGAAATAAATGTTTAACTATGCAGCAGCCATTTTTAATGCAATATCGGGTGGACACGGAAAAATCCGGTCATCTTTAAATTGAGATTTCTCCAAAACCACAAATGCTTTTTAATTGATTTTTTTTTTTAATTAAACCTTACTTTCTTATCTTAAATGGTGCTGATAAATTTTTGTTTACAAATTAATGATTTGCAAAATGTTTTGGAAACAAGTTGAGGTGCGTAAAAAAGTTGTGAATTTTTTTTGCAAAAATCCATCGACTTCCTATCGCTGGATTGCTAAAAGCACAAATGTCCCTAAATCTACAGTCATAGATATTATAAACAAGTTCAAGACTACTCAAAGCTTCGAAAGAAAACTTGGAAGTGGAAGAAAAAAAACTTTCCATAAATCCAAAAAAGTAAAGTCGATTTTACGTTCAATAGCAAGAAATCCATATCAGTCACAGCGAGATCTAGCAAGAAAATTTAAGACTTCTCGTTCTTATATCAAAAAAGTACTTAAAAATGCTGGAATTATAGCATTTCATAAAAAAAATACACCTAAGAGAAGCTTAAATTGTGAAATTAAAGGAATTCGACGCGCAAAGAAGTTGGTTAAAATAATGGCGGATAAAAATATGTGCATAATTGAAGACGACGAAACGTATTGCAAGGTGGATTTTTCACAACTTCCTGGTCAACAGTTTTACTATGAAAACAAAGATAAACCTGTCGATGATCAATTTAAATATATTTGACGAGAAAAATTTGCATCCAAGTTCCTTGTGTGGCAATCAATTTGTAGCTGTGGTATGCAGTCCTCTTGTTTTGTCACTAAAAAGACCTTGACTGCCAATCTCTACATCAAAGAATACCTCCAAAAAAGACTTTTGCTTTTTATAAAAAAACACACATACCGATGTCTTTTTTGACCCGATCTTGCTGCCTCTCACTATTCTAAAAAAGTTTTACAGTGGTGCAAAGATAATAATGTGAAAATTGTTCCTAAAGATGCGAATCCTCCAAATCGTCCTGAAGAGCGCAAGATTGAAGATTTTTGAGCAATAGTTCAAGGAGCTTTTCGTAAGACAGATGGACTAATAAATAATAACAAGGACTTCTAAAAAAACTGGATTAATGCCACCAATATGGTGAAAAAAGAAAAAATCTGTAAAATGATGGCATCAACCCGCTATAAAGTTCGATTTCTTGCCAAGCAACCCATCAAGCCCCTTGAAATTAAGTTGAAACTCTAATTTATGTAAACACATTTAATAATAAAAAAATTGAAATAAAAAGCATTTATGGTTTTAGAGAAATCTCAATTTAAAGTTGACCGGATTTTTCCGTGTCCACCCGATAGAAGTATCCCTATGTTTACATGTTGTGAAAACTTTTTTCTAGAATTATAAGAAACACCTTTATCTTCTATTGTTTACGCAGCCAACAGAAAAAAATGTTGAAAAATTGCTAATTGTGTCATCTCTCGATGTTTTCATTTATTTTTAAAAGGATAAAATATTTTGAAAATGACGATTTAAAATAAAGCAGTGAAAAAAATGTAAATATATTTCAACTTACAAAAATATACAGCATCTGACCAAGAAATAATAAAATTTAAAAAATAAAATTCTTAAACTATGGTATAGAAAGAAACTGGAAATGGTCAAACTCCTGAATTACAGACTCTTTTTTAAAATAACTAAAAATAAGGGTACAAAATGCCCCTCTATTGGGTTTGCTATTCAGGTGATTTATATATACCATGGTAAATTAGCAGTTATAACCAATTAAAATATAAGGTTGAAGTTAAAGTATGTTTAAATTAATATATTAACTGTTGCTATATTTAACACGTTAATTAAACCCCCTTGTTTGTTGCAGGGGGTTAAAAAAAACCTGCAACAACTATTTTATTACAACAAGTTTTTAAAACTTTGGAGTAGAGTATGTTAGCTGAGACTTTTTAGTAGTGTTTGTTGCGTACATTAAAATCTTAACTCTTACTTGTAAACTGTAAACGTACCTCTTAAGCTGTAAAAACATTTAATACTCATCGTCAAAGCTTCGACCTACTGCGCTAAGGACGTGCCACCTACGAACCGGTTTTCCTTTTTCGTGTAGCATTTCTCGCCAATGTTTTAACTCATCTTCAGATGTGTTGTCCTTGCCCAACGAAAACCAACCAAGAATTTCTTTTCGTCTCATCTTTTTTATGACGATTATAGAAAACATTAGACTAACACTTGATAAATCAAACTCTATTATTTGAAATACAAAAGTTTCTTTATAGTCTGGATCGTACATTGACCGACGAATCGAAGTTTTGCTCTTGGCGAGTTGATGGCCTATCGCGTTGAACATCGAAACTTTGACGTAAGTGTCTGAAGTAAAGAGAGAGTGTGTAAATCGCTTATTTTGATAAAACAAAATTGAGCCTTTATAGATTTATTTTTTTATTATTTAATACATATTTATAAAAATATTGATAAAAGATTATTAAAAACCAGAAAAGAACTGTTATATTACATATATATGTATACATATATATTTTTTCATTTTTAAAATAACAATCATAAAATCGACTCTAAAGCATGCAATACAGCAATATTTCGCCCCTATCATATATATATATATATATATATATATATATATATATATATATATATATATATATATATATATATATATATATATATATATATATATATATATATATACATACATACATACATACATACATACATACATACATACATACATACATACATACATACATACATACATACATACATACATACATACATACATACATACATACATACATACATACATACATACATACATACATACATACATACATACATACATACATACATACATACATACATACATACATACATACATACATACATACATACATACATACATACATACATACATACATACATACATACATACATACATACATACATACATACATAGAAACATATAACCATGCATAAAAATAATTTAATATAATATTAAGTAGATTTGTTTTAGTCAAAATTATTTTTTATTAATAGTTTCTTAAGTAAAATTAAAAAATGTTGTCTATTGAACTTTTATTATTGTGCTAATAAGCAAAAGTAGTAAATAAAAAATTATATATTAATATAAAAAAGATGAAACTGTTCTTGATTTCTTAATTTTCTTTGCTAACTATGTGATGGCTAGTAATTTTTTCTTCTTTTTTTTCGATCATTTCTTCCCAATGTTCAATCTCGCTAATACCTGATGCTTCTTTACCCAATACACACCAGCCTACCGTACTTTTTTTACGAGTTTTTGATACATATATCAAAGAAAAAACAATAGTAACTTCCCTCAAATCAGACTCTGACATTTGGAAAATAAAGCTTTCGTTAAACTCTGGATCGATCATGTTTCGACGTGTTGTGGTTTTACTTCTTGCTACCTTCTTGCCACGTGCCGAAAGTACTTCTATTTTTACGTATGAATCTATATAACAACATTTGAACTTTTTGATTTAAATCAAAAGTCACAGTAAAATAGATTAAAAAACAGTAGTTTGCTTAATATATATGTATGATGTTTAATACATATGAATAAAATATAACAACTTATGACGTTAAAATTAGAAAGAAATGTTATAACAAGGAAAAAAAACTTTTTAAAGCCATTTCTAAAGAAATTATTAAAGTTTTCTTTATAGAAAATTAAAACTTTTATTATCTCTATGGAGTAGATTATTTGAAGAAATAATCTGCTTGTCAACAGCAATAATAATAAAAAAAATAATAATAAATTAAAAAAAATTAATTTAAGAAGTTCTGGTTCTGGACAATGGACACAAAAAAAGTCCATTATTCTAAATATAAAAAAAATCATCCAAAATCTATATTGTAATTTTTTCTAATAGTTTTTATTGTTTATTTTTATATTTCCGCTAGAAAGCACTTTTCATTCTACTGTATGTTTGCAACATCCATGAAAATTGTTACAATAAAGACTTACTATAAACTTGACAAGCAAATTGTTGTTATCCTAAATCTGATGAGCACTGTTCACTTAAGCATATTGCGAACCGTTTTTGGTACCGTGGTTACCCGATCAACGGTCAGGTCCAAATCTGCACCTAACTGTTAATTTTTCATCTAACTTATATCAACAGTTAACTTGTTTCAGCGTTAACTTATATCAACGGTTATATGTACCGCTTGGCATTATAAAAAGCTATTTTGTTATCTGATTTTATAAAGACTTTGGGTAAAATTTTAAAAAGTTGGGTAATTTTATCAAATCTGACAAATTTCATGTATTTTAACTTGATTTAAAACTTCTAACTTATGGGTATAATTGTTTGTTGATCATGCATTTACGTAACCTAGCACACCAGTAAGCTTGAGAGAAGGAGTCAACCAGAAAACTTTTACTTCAAAGCAGTAATACAACCATCAATACTTAATTAGTTTATAAAAATCTTTTCAGTAACAATTTATTTATACTTAAGCCAGGAATAAATATTTATTAACCAAAAGGATGCCTTTCTCTAAAGTAATTGAGTCAATTGGTATTTTGATGATTACTATTACTACTTATTGAATGTTTATATTTTTAAAAGATTTCTGGTAGATCTTAGCAATCATTATATCATTAAAATAATTGTCATCAGTTTCCAATCTTATAATACTAAAAATTTCACATCAAAAGATATAATTCCGTGGCTTCAGTAAATAAATATTAAAAAAATGCTTATTTTACCGTAAACACTTAATTTACTTAATAGATGCTGCTTACATTTGGTTAGAAGTTTATATTCGGATAAAACAAACATAAAGTTTTATATTTGTTTTATCCAAATCTAGATCCAAAAGTAGAAGTTTTA